GGATACTATGGCTACAGAACATGTATTTTGCTAGACACACCAGTCTCTTCAGTCACAGATGGCCAGGCTCTTATTGACAGCTGCCACCATCAGGAACTTTACACTTCAGAGTATGAACTGTATCCTTTTTTTGCAACCAGAAAACATAGTTCATTTTCTCTCCAAGTGAAATGTTCAACAATACCTTGTCAAAAATGGCCCTGAATCTCCAAGATCATATACATTTGGAGGAGAACTGACAGTGGCTCTCTTTAAACATTCATTTCCATATCTGAAGGCCAGTCTGAAGTAAGAAGGAATATAAAGCTTATTGGGAGAGGGAAGGGAATTAAGTACAAAGGGGTTATTTTATAAGGGAAAGAGGAAACATTTGGGGGCAGGAGAGGAAGACTCTTAAAGCCCCAAAACATGGGCTAATGAAGCAAAAAGCTCCGAAGGATCCATTTCCCACCCACACCCATCCCTGAAAGAATTACACCCCCACTCCATTCCAACCAACATCCTAATAATGAACAAGACAGCTATCTGCATTTTTTAAACATGCTTGTTGCTGTCAGGTCTAGTCTGGGCTTGAATGTGATCTGAATTCAATTTAACCATGTCCTTGAATGAGAACAGAGAAGAAAGGAAAGGGCTTTTAGTATATCCCTTGATGTAATTATTCCAAAATTTTATACAAAGTAAACAGGTTCTGATTACCCAATCACATCATTTACTGGCACATATCAAAAAAAAAAGTTAAAATTGATGATTCACAGGCAGAAATACAAAACTGATTAAGGAAATTGCTTTTATTGTGATTAGCAACTGAATAGTAATCTATAAGTCTGTTGTTGACAAACATTTCCTGTCTGTATAATTTTGGGATTTAACTGTATTTAGATATTTATCAGTCAACCAGCTATCTTCCAGATAAGTTGAAACTACAGCTTCTAGAATTCTGTGGTCCCAAGTAATGTGAGAGTCAGAGGACATAGGACGGATAACAATTATTTGCAAAATAATGTCTTCTTTTAAAACAGCTTGGTCTGATGGTTAAGGCTCTAAGCCCATGATGGCGAACCATTGGCACATGTGNATGTGGATAGTGCGGAGGGAAGGGTAGCATGATGAAATCCTATCCTGAGTAGAAGTCTACTTGGGTGTCTTTGGATACAGCTGAATTGGGGGAAGAGATTCCTCTCTGAAAGCCATTATATGATAAGAATTTCACAATAAATATTGGCTCCTGAATGTTATGTGCTTCTTTTTGGTGGGCCATCTCTCTGCATGTGTATTTGCAGTGTCAGTGAGGGTTCCTATAGGTTCGGACTGTGGTTTGGTGGCCTGGGTCGCTGGGACTGGCAGCAACCCAGGCCTGCCACGCACTCGAACCAGTTCTCCGGGCAGTGCTGTAGACACCACCATCTTGTTTTTTGCTTCTGCACATACACAGAGAAATATTTATTGCACTGCGCATGTGCGTGCAGTGCGCACCAATCATGCATGCATCAAGCACCCGCATGGCATGCATGGCACACCCTTAAGCAAACTGGCAGTAGCAACTGCCAGAACCTAACCCTGATGTGCACTCTTAGAAGCCATTTCTTCTTGGGGAACTGAGGAATTTGATTTTCAAGAGAAAAGACTATGGAATGCTCAAATAGAAGATTGTGGGCAATTCCCAAAAGTGTAATTCCCCAAGATTCTTGGCAACCAGTAATGGCAATTAATGTGCTATAAAACTACATTAAGTTCATGGCAAGAGAAAGGATAAAAACCTGATTGGTGCAAAAAGGGAGATTCAATAGTTGCTTAGCTCTGTAGTGCTACATTACCCACTGTGAGAAGGGTGGGAAGAATCAAAGAAATGAGGAGTCAGCGATGGCAAAGAGTTTAGCACAGCAATTTCATACTGTGTTTTATTTAGACACAGGGAATTAACTTTGCACTCTTTCTTCAAGAGTATCAAAGATCCCAACTTCTCCTCTTCCCAAGAAACTGATTTTAGAGTTTTGACAGTGGCAGCACCTAAATAACCTCAGATAACTTCAAAAAGTGAAAATAAGTTCAGTATGGTTAGTACTCTGATAAAAAAAAACACCTAGAAGTCCCACAACACTGTCTGGATATTTTAAAATATCTTGGAAGAAAATAAGAGTAAACCAGTTCCAGATTGTTGCTAGAAAACAATTTGAATTGTTTTAAAATTGAAGATATTATGAAGCAAGTGGGAGAAACTTTTTTTTTAATATTAACAATTCCACTGTGAAATCTGAATCCAGTTGGTAAAAGACTATACTGAACAATATGGCTGCACAACAAACTGAGAAGGGGAGGGGAAAAGGGAAGGAGAAAAGAGGAAGGGAAGGAGGGTAGATGGGCATCCACGTGGCATTGTTGGCACAATTTCTTACAAAGGACAAGAATGTAAAACCAAAACTGCATAATCAGTTCCTCAACAGTATTTAAAGTAGGAGTTAATTAATATACCATTTAATAGTATGGTAAAAAGTGGGAGAGTAAAGAAAGAAAGAATGTATGACAATTCTGTTAGGTCAAAAGTTCATCTGAATAATCTCAACACTTATTCATTATGACACATGTGAGCCATAAAATCTGGGAATGTAGGGGTTGTGATTTAACATATGATGGGCATTAAACTTTGAAGGTAGGGTTACAAGCATGACTTATCAGTGGGAAATCAAGACTCATTGTAGATTGTATTTTAAGAAAATTTGGATCCAAATCCTTGTTCAGCCCTGTAGATTGCTACAAAACTCTGACTGAGCAAATGAGAGCCAATTTGATGTAGTGGTAAAGGCACCGGGATACTGTGAGTTCTAGTCCTGCTATAGGCACAAAACGAGCTAGGTGATCTTGGGCCAATCATACTCTCTCAGCTCAGGAAGGAGGCAAGGTCAAACGACTTCCAAAATCTTGTCAAGAAGTAGTTGCCAGGAGTCAAGATTGACTTGAAGATACATACGCAATTTCCTTTAAATGGGAACACCTTATATATAAGCTTCTTGGAAGATAGAAAGGATCCAGAATGCTGTTCCTTCTCTGATCTCAACAGTACCCATTCTGTGATTTAAAATGCAAGGGACTCTTGCTTGACCAAGAACACGGAAATATTACCAGTTATTTTATAGAAATATAAGCCTGTAACTGTAAGCAAGCCTGTACTGAAATACCTGCAGGTGCTGCTCTTTTGCATAACTTCTGCTCGGTGGTATCCTGACAGCTTGCAGAATCCATCATTGCTGTATACAACAGGCCAATCCACTATCTGCGCATTACCCAGGACAAAATTTGTATCTGTTTGAAACAACAGTTCTATTAGACGAAGAAGTTCCATGGCATATTGATTATACAATAGATTCTTCCTTCTTCTCTTCTATACGTCAATTATTATTTGGCACAAAAGAAACGTGGTAATCTTACTTTCTCCCGCATTTATGTTTATATATGTTCCCACCTCAGAGATTAAGAATACTCTTTGGCCTGAGAGACTTGTTTTCATTCCAGCAACTAATGGCTAAATTAGATATGACATTGATTGCCTGAACGCAATCGCCATGTGTGTTTCCTTTTTAGAAGAACATTAGAGTAACTGCAGAGTGGAGAAAGAAATTGACTCGCCCCTTTCATTCCCATCTTGGTGTTGATTGGATTGCTATTTGCATCTACAGTTCAGAAGCTATTTCGATTGTCCTTGTTGGAAACTGAACTGATAATGAATTAATATTTTGACATTGTCACTGTGCTTTCACATGTCTTGCATCATCTTTACTGTGGCTATTGTTGATACGTAGCTCTCCTCACTTCATAGTGCTATGCAGGCATATGCAATGAGAAAACCTGGCACTGAGTAAATCATTCTAATACAGGCCAAAAGCCTATCCTAAGCTTAGCAGCTCATTGGTTCAAACAGGGCATGTATCAAGAAACTGATTTGTATAGCATAGCCTTTTCCCCCTAACAGCTGACTTTATAAACTGTTCCAGGAGATCTTGGGTTACTGTAGAAACTAAGAAGTGGTTTTTCGGTGGGAAGATTGGTAAATAATATTAATAAGAATAATATGAATGACAGTTGGTCTTACCTGAACTGTTATTTTAAGAGGTGTTTGCAGGATGGGCCAGAAATGGTATTATCACAGCCAATTGGCCTTGAGACTGGGTTGAAGCTGAAGCCA